TAAACCTCTTTTATTTATTTCTTTTTTTAAAAAAAAAAAAGAAAGAAGAAGAACTTGTATAAGAATTTAAGTTAGCAAATGGCTAATCATTAAACCCTTAAAATCAAGTAACATCGAAGATAAAAATGTTATTCAATCGACGTTGTTATTTGTTTTGTATTAAATACTTTCTAAACAATGACTTTGAAGACAACAAATCATATTCACTATGTACATGCAATTATTTTCAACAAATAAAAAAAAAAGTCAAGAAAAGAATATGATACCAAATGAGAGGCTGGAACTTGTTATCACGTTGAATCTTCAAAGATGAGGATCTATTAGGTACTTTTTGGCTACCTTTCACGCTACACAGATGCCTCACAAATCTCAAGAAATACAAAGAGAGAGGCAGAGAGAGAAATTTTGAGCTATAAGGAGTTCTCGATGAGTTTTTTTTTGCCTCGAGAATAGTGTCCGAGTCTACTATTTATAGACGTCAGACCTGACCAGAACGGCCCGTTCTGGATCATTCAGTTATGAGCTAAATTTGAACTTGGAACGGCCCGTTCTAAAGGCGAAACGGCCTGTTCTAGATTTGAACGTGTCCTATAACGAACTGCACTAGAATGGCCTGTTCTAAACTAGGATTTTAGACCTTTTTGGTGGTTTGAAACGGCTCGTTCCAGTTTGGGAATGACCCATTCTCAATTAGGATTGTAGGTCTTTTTTAGTAAATTGGAATGACCCGTTCCGATTTTGGAACAGCCCGTTCTGAGCTACTAAAACTAACTTGTTTGGGCTTCAAGCTTCCTTATTGTCATAGGGTATTGCCTCTATACTTTGGGAGCTCCCCCTCTTCATAATAGACGTCCATTTCATTATTTTTTTTTGTCCGGATAAAATTGATTATTCACACATGTAATCATTGCCATTCACTCTATCAATAGCTTCACATGCACAAGCTCACGGAGTGGGAAAAAAAAAAGAGAAGGAAGAGGAGAGAGAAAAAGAGAAAGAGAGAGAAGTAAGTAGGAAGAGAACAGTGAAATTTTGACGTAATTAACTCTTGTTAAGTCTACATTCTAAGGTAAGGGGGAGGAGATCTTTATCCTTTTAAAATTTTATATACTATTATGTTATATCTATGTATATTTATTTAGTAAGGTGTTTCTAACCTCATTTACTTGCTTAATCTATGATACTTTTTACTCTAAATAATTAATAAGGTGTTACTAGTTTATGTTATTTAATTATTTTATGATGTTTATCACTATCATTTACTAGATCAATATTCTTTAATACATACGTAAACTATATTAAAGTTTTTAAAAATTAAACATACTCAAACTTATTTAGCTTAATTATTTTTATATTAATATTAACTATAATATAGTTTTGTTAAAATATCCTAAGCTCATTATATTGTTATTTCTTCATGAAGTATAAAGATAAATATTATTCTATGGGCATAGAGAATAAAGTTTGAATTAATTTGTAGTTGGAGGTTTGACCTTGGGAATTTAAATGAGTAAGGATTTAAGGTGAAATATCCTTTTGTTGGTTGATATTATGATTATGCTTATTTATCCTTACTAGTCACTACTAAAATAATTCAAATTTTATTATAACATGAAAATATAATATATATATATATATATATGTTTAATATTGATTATAAATAATTCTGTACATTCTATTGAATTATTTGTATTTATTGGATATTTGTTCTCACTCCTCATTTTTCTTTGTTTTTTAAAATTAAATATATTAAAAAATAGATGGATCTACCTACGATTTCAGGTCCTTTTACAGTTGTTATTACTGCTGTCTTCCCTAGAGGGAATTGGGATGCGGATGTTGTTTCCAACTTTGTTACACGTTTCAAGGCATATGATTATCTTCATATTTTTTTTTTTACCAAGAAAAACTCACTATTATTGATGGACCTATTATAGTAATTTCTTTATCCACCAACCATACTAGTCTAATTGTAAATTTATTTCCACCATCAGTGTAACTATTGTAATAGAAGTGAAAGAAATGAATAATGTGTAAAATAGTACATTATTGTAAATATTTTTAGAATAATATGTAATGTAAATATGAACTAACTATATCTAAATAAGTTCACAAAATCTTCTTTGTCTTTATGAAAAATATTATTAATGATATAATTTTGATAATAACATATAAGGAATATATATTTAATATTATATAAATTGGGCGTTACACCGCAAACACAGGCCCTTGCGCCTCCATCTCCCCCGTCAGTCATTCTCCCTCACGCGCTCTTCCTTCACTTCACAAATGTATCCCCTTGTGCCTTCGTTGCTTCACATCGGTTAGCCTCCCTCATGCGATCTCCAATTGTTCCCCGTTAGTCATTCTCCCTCGCTTCGCAAATGCAACCCCTCGCGCCTTCGTTGTTCCCCTTTGATTGTTCTCTCACGCGTTTCCCTTACTTGGTCTTCCTTGCTCGTTCTCCCTTGCACTTGCCTCCCTCTCTCGGTCTCTTTCACTCCATGAACGTAACCTGAACGCATGTTTCTAACAATGTTTCGCCGAAAGCAACCCTCCATTGGCCACCATCGCTCTTCTTAAAAACTGATACTTTTAAGATCGGTTAATAACCGATCTTAAAAGTCAAACTTTTAACTTTAACTAATCTTAAAAGTAAAAAATTAAAAGTCTTTTTTTCACTAGTGAATTTGACTTAAGCATTTTTTTTTTAATTTTATGTTGTTTCTTTTATGTTTTAAATTTTATGAAAATTGTTTTAAAAATAAAATACACACAATATGAAGTTAATTTACTTTATAAATATCATCTTTTGCATAAATATTTCTTAAAAAAAAAGCTGAATGAATACAAAGTATACACAAACCCGATTATGGTCAATTGTTCAAAACTTTTGACAAACTCAACATATTTGATGAGTATTCAAGTTCGAAATTAATTCTTATGTAATAAGCAAATTGACTTAGTAGTGATTAGCATAAATTGTTATTAAAAGTTAAAAATTTATCAATAAATATTTATTTTAATATTTACATATCAACCATTTATTTGTCTATTACGTAAGTTATTTGTATACTAGGTTTTACCTACAACAAACTATTACATGCTTTGAAATTTTCTAAAACTTACAATGTAATTTATTTCCTAGAGTTTCAAGATTTTATAGGTTCTTTATTAAAGTTTAATTAACCATACCTTTTTAGAAGTTTGACCCTCAAGCTTATTCAAAGGCTTATGTTTCCTTAAGACCTTTTAAACAAGTTAATTCAAAAGTTAAAAAAACCTTACTTTTTACATGTTAAAGACTAAATCTATTCAATTTAGTCCTAACTTAAATAGGTAAATAAATGATAAAGTATATATATTAAGATCTATACCAAGTTCTGGTAAAAAAAAAAACATTTTGTAAAATCAAAATAGAACAAAAAGATGTGTTTAAATATTTAAAAGAAAAAATTGGAAACAAAAAATGATTTTACACACAACATCACACCTGTGTTTCTTAAAACTGAAAAATAAAAAATAAAAATAAAAGAAAAACAGTAAATAATATTTAGTTCAATTTTTTTTAATCCAACTCAATCCAACTGTGTTCTATCGCAGCCATATTATTAAAAAGAAAATTGGTAGAAACCATATTATTATATTAATTAATTAATTGTATTGCGGCCATGCGTTCTATATTATTTGTGCATTACACGTATCACTAAAAAATAATTAAATAAAGCTGTCAATTTCCAAACATTATGTGTTTCGCATGGATTAAATATGTAACTCGTCATGTCTCTCTCTCCTTTTTGTTTTCCAAGTTTTATAATATACATTATTTTATTATTGTTAAGGCCGTTCTTTTTAACGTTATATTAATAATTTTAAATATTTTAATATTTTTTTCGACTTTATTTTTAACAAAGTGAATAATAACTTTTGTGAAATATATATATATATATATATATATATATATATAATTTTGATTTATTATTGACGAAACCAATCCCAACATTTTGTAAACAGTTTTAAAGTTTTCTGATTTTATTTTATTGTCAAAAGGTTGATACTAATTTTTTAAAAATATTTTTAATTATTTAATTTTGTTTTATTGTCGGTACTTTAAGGGTAACAAAATGGAACATTTCAATCGTTTAGGCGTTGACCCGTAAAATATGAGTTAAGTCGGACTAATCCGCTAATTGAAAATGGGCTACACATTTTGATCTGCTCCGTCTAAGGGTGGTCGGTCCACCAAAAAATATTAAAAAATATAAATAAAAACTTTGTCTATTTATTTTGGTACCATTTCTAATATATTTCTTTCTCAATATGCAAATGACTCACATATATTAGTCTATAAATAATAAAATTAATCAAATGTATAACATATTTGTTGTGCAATAAATTATAAATTACTCTTATCATGTAACTTATTTAAATTTAATATTAAAAATATAATAATAATAATAATAATAATAATAATAATAATAATAATAATAATAATAATAATAATAATAATAATAATTAGGTAGGCTGATAGTTCTAACTATCCCAACAAGACAGACTAGGCTAATATTTTAATTTTTAATTTTAATTTATTATCAACAAAGTGCATAATAACTTCCTATATATTTCTTAATATTTTAAATTTGATTTTCCTGCCAGCTAAGTAGACACTAACATTATGTAAAATATTTTTAATTAGTTAATTGGCAATAATGTCAACACTATCTTTTTTTCTTCTTTTTTTTTTTTCTCACAGACCGTTTTAACTTGATATATAAAGACATTTCTGAAACAACTAAATTGATACAATTTTTTATTATTAATCTAATATTATGATTTAAGATAAATAAGGCTGGAAACTCAATGTGGGACAACTAAATTGTCATTTTGAGATATTTATCCGAAAACAATATTTTTCATAGGTGAATCAATATAGAAGAGAAAAATGTGATAAAGAAAATATATACAGACTTGGCTCTGTGCCCGATCCAATAACATGCAACTTGAATATAATTTGGCTAGCATTAAGTGTCTTAGTGGCAAAAGAAATTAAAGTAGCAAAAGAAATTAAAGTAGAATGATTCATTCCCACGAACCTGTCCAAAAGACACCTCAATTTTTCTAGTACATTCGTAGTATAGTAGTAAAATGGTATAGAAGTAGATCACATTGATAATTAACTAATTAATTGTTTACCAAATTTGTTGTTTTCCCAAACACCTTTATGAGTTCAGAGTCACCTACAAATTCCATATATGCTACAGAAAATCATACCAGAACCTAATTTGTAGATGAGCAATAAACATACTGATAAAAGTTAAATTGAGGGCATTCCAAAATGATTAACATACATTAATCCACTTCCAAAGGGCCAGCTGCACATGAAATGATGGCATTCCACAATGATTAACAAAGTTTTCCTTATAAAAGCTAACAATTGAAACTGTTAAGACATACCAGTATTACAATAGAAATTCTCACTTGGAAGAGGGTAGAGGTAAGTAATGCTCATCTGCAATGCAAAGGGTACATCAGTTGATTATAATAATAGGCATTAGCAAATAAATATTGTTTGATTATAACTTTAAATATCACTATATATAGGTGCAAAAGGTACATGATTTGATTATAACTTTACAAGAATTAATTTGATTCTTCTCATTTCATTCATTTTATTTTCTTCTCCTATGAGTGCTTGTTGAAAATTTTATTCACACAATAACTCTAAATATTCCATCGTTATGAGAAGGAACTAACTGCAAACTACACAAATTGCATATAAAACCATTTCAAGTAATTAGTAAATCATATGCCAACAACACATAACCCTGTGTGTTGACTGTAAAAATGAATTACTACACTTGCTAGGTTTGATGGTCGTGCTAGTTTAAAGCAAACTTAGTAATTGTAAGTACAAACACTTGAGGAAATTAAGAAAACATTAAAAAAAGATAAACAAAAAATTGCTTTAAATTTTAATGGCAACAATATTTAAGAATTGCGCCTAACAGTAAGCCCAAAATTTTAAGTAATACAGATTGTTAGCCATAACTATATAGCATGTTGTCGCTTTAGTGAATAACACTGCATCAGGAATCTAACAATGAGGCAGATACATCTAAATGGATGACATATTTAAATGAGCTACAATTTATATTATAAAAACAATGAAGTTGAAAATATCTTAACATGTCAGGTTATACAAGTATTAAACTATCACATCTTGATTTAAGTATACTTTTAAGTCAAAAAAAAAATAAATAAATACCAAGAGTGATCATATAATGAATACATCACATTGCACGGCTATTACGATCCTGCAAAACGATAAAGTTGAATCAAAAGAAGTACAATTAGATTAATTAATTAACAAAGTAAATTAATTCACAATAATATCAGACTTTGTGCTACCATTGCAATGATCAATCAAGGCGATTAGACCCAATAATTTCATAAATTCAACAACGAAAATAAGAATATAACAAGACCATCATGCAACAAAATATATGTAATGATTATTATGTTTAAACATATATGTTAATATAACAAAATATATATATATATATATATATATATATGGAATTGTTAACATATATACTCTCACCTATTTTTTAGTCGAAATATGTTAATAACCTACACCAAAATTTTAGGACAAGAGAATCACTCATTTTTTATGATTTCGTTAATTTGTATAAAGAATATTATAGTATTTTAATTTAATTTAAAAAAAAATTAAACATTTTCTCTCTCGTATTAATTTCATTTTCCAAATGAAAAAACATAAAGTAGTAAAGTTACTAAAATGCTAGTATTTAAGAATGATGATGACACCATCGAATGAAAGACCGTCCATATTCTATGGCAGCTGATCAAAGTCTTCATCATAATGAGGATGAACCTGAATAGTACCTACAGAATCTTCCCAAACTGACGGTCCATATCACTATTTGTAACTATTGTTACATCAACTTCATATGCTCCTCTAACTTTATGCACTTTTCATTTGTCTCATGTAAGCCCACAGTTACGACATTAGCTTGCTTAGTTGCACATTGAACCTCTTAACCTAATGCCTCAATTGGAGCAAAGTGGTGATGCACATGATTCATAGCCTAAACAAATAAAGAGACTTGTGTAGGGGAGGACACGTCTTGACAGATGTTATAAGCCAGATTTGTATTGCCATAACACCTTTCCATTCTCTGGCCACCTACTACTTCTTCCAACATTGAATCTTGTTGACCCCACTTATTGGTTGCAACTCACTACTAGACTTGTCAACACCATCTGACTTAATTATCCACAAACGCTTATGATATTGTGCTTGATCAATTATAATATATGTAAATTGTTAGAAATGTAAGTTTGAAAATGTAATTGAAATGGAAAAATAATTGTATAAGCTACATATGTATCTTAAGCATGGTTGTCAACCCAACCACCATTCTTCTTTGTGTGAATGGCCATAAACAACTCATCAAAAACACATTAATGTGGAAGAATATAGTCAAAAGATGGAGTTATATATCATTAGGGAAGGAATTAGGGAAGAAGAGAGAACCATCATAGCAAGATTCCTTAGTAACTTGAGTCTTGAGATTAGGGATTGTTGGGATAAAATTGAACTCTTGTCATATAAGAACTTTGATGACATGGTTCAACTATGCATATTGAGCAACAATTGTTAAGGAAAACTTCTTCTAAGAGGGATTCCTCATCATCATCTTCACATCATAAGAAGGATCATAAAGAGAAGGAGTAATCTTTAAAGAGTTATTCGAAGAGTGATCCATCAAAAGAAAAAAAAAATGAGAAAAGAAAACTCTCACATGAGAAAGAAACCCCCTAACACTAGTTTTAGGACAAGTAATATCAAGTGATTTAAGTGTCTAGAGGGAGAAGTCACATTGTCTTTCAATGACCCACCAAAAAGATCATAATCATGAAGAGCCTAGAACACTATAGTAGTCAAGAGGAGATTACATTTTCTTCCTCCACCTCTAGTGGAAGTGAAGAAGAAGGGTGGATAGTCCTAAGATAAAGAATGTTTATCTTTGTGATGGTAATCTCTTATTGGTTAAAAGGTTTCTTGAAAGTCAACCTTGTGAAATTAACACTTCACAAAGATAGAACATCTTTCATATACGATATAAAATTTTAGAACAAACATGTTCTCTCCTTATGAATATTAGTGACTCAAGTTGCAATTGTTGTAACACGAGATTGATAAAAAAGTTAGCCATCATTATCATAGCCCATCCTAAGCCTTAGGCTTCATTGCTAAATGAAAACAAGGGAATGGTAGTGGACTAACAAATGAAGGTTAAGTTTTTTTATTGGGAATTATGATGATAAAGTCTTATATGACGTAGTTCCTATGGAAAGTTATCATACTTTGTTGGAAAGACCATGACAATTTGACAAGAAATCTATGCATAATGACATTACCAATGAAATGCCTCTCACACACAAAGATAGAAAGTTTATATTACATCCTTTTACACTAACTCAAGTGATAGAGGATCAAATACATATGAAGCTTACAAGGGAAAAAGAAAATAATAAAACAAAAAAACAAAAACAACTCCTAGAGCATGAAAGGAGTGAAACGGAGGAAGATATCTCTTCTAAATTGGTTGTTAAGATATCTCTATCTTGAACAATCCATTGTTCTACCACTCAATGAGTTGGTGAAGAACATTTTTCCTTCCTTTTGCGGTGAAAAGTTTGGGAATGCTTCTCAAACCATTAAAGGTGAACTTTCCAATGCAAATGTTCTAACTCTTCCAAACATTTCTAAAACTTTTGAGCTTGAATACCATGCATCTAGATAAGATTTGGGAGTTGTTTTGTTGAAGGGTGGATATCTTATTGCTTCTCTAAAGATAACTACTTATAAGGTCACTCTCAACTACCCCACCTATAAATGTTCCATGCTTTCTTCTAAACCTTCCAATCTTTGGGACATCATCTTGTTTCTAAGAAGTTCTTAATTCATGGTGACCCTAAGTCACCTAGTTCTTTAGGAAGGCAAGGAAAATTTGTTGTAAATAGCTTAGTTTTTAGGAGTCTAAGTGACCACAAAGAACAACAAAGGCATTTTTTGTATATTTTAGAGAAAAACCACCTTTAATAAAGCTAGAAAAGTATAGCTTTAGTTTAGATAATGATATAGGTCTTCTAGTTAGATCAAAAGTGTTTCAAGAGGACCCCAAGAAAATAAAAATCTTTAAAGATAAATCAACCTCACATCTAGATTGGACTAATAAGTTAGACCTCTTTCATGTTAATCAAGAAAACAACACCTTTAATGTCTGTGATACACTTTCTTTTGCAAATGTTAAAGAAGAGGAAAATGATGCTTTGGATTTAAGGATAAATCCTCTTGAAGAGCAATGGTATGATGTCATCACACCTGAGGGCAAACTACAAAAAGAACTAAGAGGAGTGAGTTAGACTTGAAAGAAGAAGACTTAAGTTCATTTGAGTTTTGGTTACTTTTAGTAGTCCATTTTCTCTTTGTAAATTTTTTTTTAAATTTTGACCTTTAATTTTTGGATTAAATAAATTTGGAAATTATTTTCTTGTAATTTTCTTTTTAAGAGTGTATTTAGTATTTAGCGAGGTGTAACTAGTATTTGGAAAATGTGCTTGTTTGGGCTAAGAGAGAGTGGAGAGTCATACCTCCATCATGGTGGACATCCATATTGGTTTCCACACTCTCTCATTGGCTCACACATTACCAATAAGTCACATGTTTTACACATTAGTCACACTTTTTGCATATTTACTTCAACACCCCTGTTCTACTAACACAATGCTCATCACACCTTTTGCACCTTGTCATGTGACAAGCTCTTATTTTCTCTTCTAGATTTAGGATGTTGACATCATTTTTGTAAGGAATTCAAATTTGAATGAGAGTTAGCTGGTCTAAGTACAATTTAACCTAACCTTGGTTATATTTAACCTTGGTTAGCTTAATAACTTGCACCACAAACTACCAAACTCTATATATAGGTCCTAGCATGTATAATCACATCAGTTTTGACATTGACTAAGATTGAGATTGAATTTTCTCTCATTTTTAAGAGTCCTTGGAGTTCCTCTATTTGAGTGTAACTTCAGTTGAATCTCTTATCAAGGATCCTTAACTTGTGGTGAGAAGCATTCTTAGCTTATCTTCTCTTGAAGTGGCGCTACCATTCCTTGTCTCCTCCATCATTTTGAAGTTTCTACTTCTTCAAAGACCTCATGGATGAAAGATCAAGGAAAATGAAGAAGCCTATCGGAAAAATATCCCCCTTGAAACTAATTCCATCAGTTACTAGTTTTGAGATTCTCGATACAAATTCCCACCATTAAGAAAAATCCAACGCTTACTTGTATAATAAGTTATTTCTACAGATAGGCAAGTGCAAGTTGTCAACTGACTCATACGAGCCAACAAGAACAATATTTACATGGCATTAATTTGAAGGAAGAATCTCTCTAGCATACACTACTACACAAATACCATGCTACATCATTTTTCTACATTAGTTGTTTAATAAAAAACGTAAAAAAGTAAAACAGTAACGTTTTTGAAATTGAAAACAATTTTTTGCATCAATTCTAAAATAACAATTCAAAAACCTCTTTTTACATCGATTAAAATTAGAACAAATGTAAAGAAGTTTTTAGATGGGTTCAATTTTGAATTGATTTGATGTCTCAAGGCACAAGCCAAAGTCTCAAAAGTTGAGTTTGAAAGAAGCTTTCACAAGTCAGAGGTTTTCACATAGATGTCTCTTCAAGTGGAAGTCATTTTCTTTTTATTTCTTGAAGAAGTTAAGCTTGAAAGATTGTTGATAGAGGTCATCATGTAAGCATAGGACAAGAAGATTAAGGATTGGAAAACATGTGAGGTGAAGGTAGAGCAACATGCGAAGATATGCACTACTAGAAAAGTGTCATTTTCCTGCAAATTTTCTTATAAAAAAATATTCGAATTTAATCTGCAAGAAAAATAAAAACAAAATATTTAAATTTATAATTTTAATATTTAAAAAAAACTTGAAGTCCCACATCGATTGAAAATAAAACAATTAAAGAGTATATAAGTTGGGGCAACACTTACTTTACAAGTTGATTTGTATAGTTGAGTGTTAGGCTTATAATTTACAATCTTATAATTTAAAAGATTATGTATCACATATTGGAGGCATGAAAACAAATACTTCGGATGAATTCATTGTGAACATTTGAAAGTTGAAGAATTATTGATAGAATTTATAGTAATTTTTTAAATTTTTTTCGTAAAAAATATTCTTACAGAATTTCTTGCCAAAAAATTTACAGGAAACTTTCCTGCGAATTTTAAAATTTGCAAAAATATATTATCCACGAAGGTATTACCTACAGATAAAATTTCGCAGAAAAATTTGTAGGAACAACGTTTCTTACGAATTTTTCATAAAAATTCGCAGAAAAATTCGCATGTAATAAGAGAAATTCTAGTAGTGATGGGGTGTAATGGTAGGGTAGGGTTTGTTGAATGCGAAGGGGTTACCAAGAACAAAGAAGATGGATTTTGCATAGTGTCGAGCACAAAGGGGGCTTGCATAGTGTAGAGCACAAAGGAAAGGGGTTTTGTGGAGTGTAGAGCACAAAATGAAGGGGTTTTGCCTAGTGCAATTGGAGATGGGTGCTAAAGGAGGGGCATTTGGGGGGAGGTGTCTAACATTTTTGCGAAACAAAGTGCCAAGTTCAAACTTTTGTAATACTTATGTATTAATTAAAGCTTAGCCTATATTGATGACATCTACATCGGTCCTACAATCATTATAGAATATTCATTTTAACTAATATAAAATGTTCTCTCCAATGATAAAATAATTGAAACCAACACATCCTATATATAGCACCATTCAATTTCGATAACACTATCACTTACTACCCATAAAATTAAATGAATGGATAAAACACAATCTATATTTTTTAATGAGTGAATTAGATAAATTTATTTATGAATGAATTGATTGAATGACGAATGAATATACTATTTCACCTCCCCTAATTCCTAGATTATTGAAACAAAGTTTAGGGCAAGCTCTCAAAATGTTGGTTATGTTGAGATAGCAATACATGTCTCTCCTTCTAGAGAAATTATTTAGTAGTATTAGATTACATGGTCTCTAACTATTCTTTACATGGCATATAATCAAGTGTAATTAATTTGTTCTCGTATATTAAACTACTTAAATACATATTATGTAGTGATTAATTGAGACCATAAACACTTGGTAATCTTAGATTACCTAATAATTTTGTTGGGCCCGATTGTCCACCTTTTCCTCCACCATAGTATGATATTGTCCGCTTTGGGCCCAAGCCCGCACGGTTTTGTTTTTGGGCTCCTTCCCAAAAGGCCTCATACTATGTGGAATGGTGGACACTTATAAACTAGCCAATGTTCCTTCATTTTACCGATGTGGGACTTGGGATGAATCCCAACAAACCTCCCCTCAGACCAAGGACCACATGTCTCGTGATCTCCTCCCCTCAAGCGATAATCCGTCACCATCTTGTACCGCCGTTAACTCTACGGGACACGCTGCCTGAACACCAGGATATCAGGAAGACTTTCGACACAAGACACCAAGTTCGGATCTCTTCTCCATCGCGAGGCACAACACTGAGGGTCTTCCCGCATCGAACCCTAGTCGAACCGTTGGCTCTGATACCACTTGTTGGGCCCGATTGTCCACCTTTTCCTCCACCATAGTATGATATTGTCCGCTTTGGGCCCAAGCCCGCACGGTTTTGTTTTTGGGCTCCTTCCCAAAAGGCCTCATACTATGGAATGGTGGATACCCTTATAAGCTAGCCAATGTTCCTTCATTTTACCGATGTGGGACTTGGGATGAATCCCAACAAATTTTTCATCCTTCAAACCCTTTGCTTGATATATAAACTAATGGGTGACTTTTTTTGTTTCTTAATTTATTTTACCCCTCCCATTCCAAATCCAGGAAGTATGTCCTCGTGCTTCCATCTCCAATCAAATGCCACTTTTCCCTTTCTTTTCTTACAACCGCACCCATTCCAAACACTTATACCACTTAGATAACATCATTCCAACACAAAAGAACACATTCACCAAAAACCACTTCACAACTACACTTCATCATTCCTCATGATTTCAATTAATCTCGACACAAATGATGATTTCTAGACAACGAACAACAAGTGAAATCAAACAATATTCAATCAACAAACTTTTTTTTTATCTCTAATTAATCAAAAATCAAGAAGATGGAAGACGAGCTCGAGAACTTTGCAAGGCTCTCGATCTAAGATTCTCGGTCTCCAAGCTTCCAATCCGACAATCTACTATTGTTGCCTAGTTAAGGAAAGGGACTAGAAGAAATTAGTTGAAGTAGAAGAAGAAAAAAGTTCCTCTAGCTCCAAAGCTTATCTTACTACCTTCTCTTTAACCTTTCTTAAAACATGAACTTATGAGATTCACATTTTAAAAAAAAAAAAACCTTATATATCCCTTACTTAAGCTAGACCAATCAAATTCTGACTCAACTACCTCAAAGCAACTTAACTCTCTGAGTTCCTTAACTTGTAGAGCTCTGAAATAACATAATAAAAACAAAACAAAAATTAATCATATATCTCATATAATTAAATTAAACATCTAAAACATACAATATTACACAACCAATGTAAAAACTTACATAATAACATTTTTGAAATTGAAAACAGCTTTTTACATCGATTCTAAAATAACGATTTAAAAACTTCTTTTTACATCTATTAAAATTAGAACCGATGTAAAGAGGTTTTTAGATGGGTTCAATTTTGAATTGATGAGATATGTCTCAAGGCACAAACCAATGTCTCAAAAGTTGAGTTTGAAAGAAGTTTTCACAATTCAAAAGTTTTCTGCATAGATGTATCTCCAAGTGGAGGTCATTTCCTTATGGAGTTGAGCTTTAAAGAGTATTGATAGAGGTCATTATGGAGGCATAAGACAAAAAGATTAAGGATGAGAAAACATGTGGGGCAAGGGTGGAGCAAAGTGTGGAGACATGTGGTGTAGTGGCAAGGAAGGGTTTATGGAGTGCGAAGGAGATACAAGGCATGAAGGAGATGGATTTTGCATAATGTAGAGCATGAAAGGGGCTTGAATAGTGTAGAGCACAAAGGGGAGGGGTTTTGTTGAGGGTAGAGCACAAAAGAAAAGGGTTTTGTCGAGTGCAAGAGCTAGATGGGTGCACTAAAGAAGGGGCTGTTCGAACATTTTTGTGGAACAGAGCACCAAGTTCAAATTTTTGTAATACTTTTGCATTAATTAAAATATAATCTACATTGTTGACAGCTACATCCGTCCTATAATCATTATAAAATATTTATTTTAACTAATGCAAAATGTTCTCTCATGATTAAATAACTAAAAGCATCACATCCTATATATAACGCCATTCGATTTTGATAACATTATTACTTATTACACATAAAATTAAATAGACAGATATATAGAATCCAATCTATAATTTTAATGGGAAAATTAGATAAATTTACTCGTGAATAAATTGATTAAACAATGAATAAATAAAATATTTCACCTTTCCTAATTCCTAGATTATTGAACCAAAGTTTAGGATAGCCTTTCAAAATGTTTGTTATGTTGAGATAGCAATACATGTCTCTCCCTTCAGAGAAATTATTAAATAGTCTTAAATTGCATAATCTCTAACTACTCTTTACATAATATATAATTAAGTAGAATTAATTTGTTTTCATAAATTAAATAGTCTTAGATTGAAACCATAAACACTTAAACTAGCATATGATTTGTAGTCCATTAAACCCTTTGCATGATACATAAACTAATGGGTGAGGTTGTTTTTGTTTGTTTAGTTTGTTAATGTGTTTTACCCCTTCCATTGGAAATCCAGCAAGTATGGCCACCCGCTTCCATCTCGAATCCAGTGGCAGTCCTCTCTCCCTTTTCCCGCAACCCCAGTCGTTCCAAATACTCGAGCGTTGGACCCTCCCAATCTGGACCGCAATGAAAGCGTCGTGGAGCTCCCCGCGGTTCTGCCGCT